TTGGGAGATGCTAATTACAGCAATTAAGTAAAATGAGTATGTAATATTGCTTAGCAACCCAGTTACCTAATATGTAATTTCCCTAATTTGGCTGAATCTGTGTGCTGCAACTGTTGTTGCCTTAATTAAGGATATTAATAATAATGTTTGTACATGGAACATTTTATGCAACATTCTCTAACACCTATCTAGAATTAAATTAGTATATAACTATCCCTTATGAGACAGGTTTTTTTTTTGATTGCTTGTTTATTTGTTTTTCTCAAAAAGAAGTCAGGCTAGGAGCCATGTTTGAGGACTCTGAAATAAATATCTCTCATTGGCTGAGAGAGACACACTTGCCATGATCTCCTACAAGAACAGTCTCCTAAAGCAAGCTCCCCTAAATCTGGAATAAAAGGTTGGGTCTTACCATGCATCTAGTCTAAGCTTCATGTAAGCTACACTTTGGGCATGAGAAGTAGTGTGTATGTGTATGGGGGGGGTGTATGCATGCACGTGCACACGCACATGTGCATACAGGTGCACATGAATATGTGAGTATCTATTTGTGAAAGATGAAAGTGGACATCCAGTGTCTCCTTAATTGCATGCACTTTATTTTGTGAGTCAGGATCTCTGACTGAGACCAACTCTAGGAGCGTACCTATGGTGACTAGCCACCAAGGCCCAGGGATTCTCCTGTCTCCTCCTCTCCAGTCGTGGGACCATAGACATGCCAAGCAACACTTGACTTTTACAGGGGTCCTGGGAATGCCATTTCAGATCCTCCTGCTTACACAGCAATCATTTTACTGATGGATGACCAATTAATTGCACTAGTACCAGGTTATATGATGTAATTTGAAGGTGTTTTTAAAGTTTCACCTAGAAACCCATTGTGTGTGTGTGTGCGTGCGTGCACACACACACAAACACATGCATGTATGTGATCCATGTCAATAAGTGGAATATCTTAAATGAGTCTCACTTTCTTGAAAAAATAACAAACTTTTCTTTTGCCATCCAAAGCAGGAACTTTAATTCTCTAAGCCAGCAAGTTACTACTAAAAAACATCAGTGGCTAAAGATAGACTTAGAGGAAAAAAACAGAAGTAGCTATCAGGCATCCTCAGGAACTAATTCATCCTCATAACTCTAGGCCCACGTTCACTATTAAGTGAGCACAAAGCCAAGTTCTTAGTTGGCCATTTGCCATTTCTGGCTTGAGTGTAAAGGGGCTGAGGATAGGGGAGGTTGTGTACAGATGCTGTTGTTAGCCACAACTCTTTATGTGGGTGTCCTCTTGGTCGCCTGGCTCTGCTTTCAGTCGCTTAGTAATATTTCCTGAGGTCTTCTCTTGCCCAGGAATTGTACTAGGTGCTAAGGATACAGCAGGGAGTAACCACACAAACACTCCTACCCTGCTCTGACTTACGTTGTAATGATAATGATGGTGTTCCGGTTAGGATTACTGTTACTGTGATGAAACACTATGACTGAAGAAATTTGGGGAGGAAAGGGTTTATTAACCATGCACTTCCACATCACTGTGCATCATGTTAGGAAGTCAGGACAGGAACCTGAATAAAGGAGATGATGCAGAGCTATGAAGGGATGCTTCCTGGCTTGCTCCCCCTGGCTTGCTCAGTCTGCTTTCTTAAAGAACCCAGGACCACCAGTCCAGGGATGGCACCACCCAGAATGGATGGAGCCCTCCCCCATCAATCACTAATCAAGAAAACACCTTACAGTTGGATCTTATGGAAGCATCCTCTTGAGATTTCCTCCTTTCAGATGACTCTAGCTTGTATCAAGTTGACACACTACTAGCCAGCGCAGATGGCCACTCGGATATATTCCGTGCTGACCAAGGCTACATGTAGCATTCACACGCCACCTTATTTACTCCTGAGGTGAGGTAGGAAGATTCTTATCCTTCCTCAGGAGTTGAGGGAACTGAGCTGAGGAGAGCTTAAGAAAGTAGCCTGCCAGTAAGCAGCCGAGCTGGAGATGAAAGCCGAGTCACTGACTCTCTCCACTCTGCCTCTTCTACCTAGGGCTTCAATCTGTTGCCTCTCCCCTCAGTGTTGTATCGTCCTGTGCGGTTTCTGTTGCTGTTTGATTATCCACTCATGTTCATAATAAAAATGTAAAACACTGCCGGAGGTTGTGGTTTTGCTTCCAACCCTGGGACTAGATCTTCATTTTATAAACAAGGAACAAAATCATCCTTGGATTGCTCAGTTTCAGAGGAAGCTTAAGTGACAACTGAAAGCCTGTCTCAGGGTGCCAGTGTGTTTTCCTTGCTGGGTAGAAGAGTTACCTTTTTAGGACAAAGCATTTCCTGGGTTGCTAGAGTTTAATTCCTGTTACAGATAAGAGACAGATGGTTATATTTTTAAGGATACACAAATAACCTAAAATGTAAAATAATTGAAAGATAAATAGTAGCTATTTCTGAATTCCCCTGAGACTGAAAAAAACAGGAAAAGGGATCTTTGGGAAGAATCTTGGGAGGAGTACAAAAATGCTGCTGCTGGCAGGATGGGAAGAACCTCAGGCGGCAAGGTATTAGCCCCACCTTTTCGGTGCTCAAATGATGACTTAATGTCCACTCTCATTTCTACTTGACATTCAGTTCCCCCAATCTAGCTATGTTACTAAGAATGGTCTACAAATAAAGAACCTGTTGGGAAGCCCTTTACTTAGCCCAACAAGTCTCTGAACTAAATGCTTCTAAAATTTTTGTTGTGTCTAACCCTAGTCCTATGAGGCAGGAATTAATCTTCTAAGTGTAAGGAATAAAAATATTGGTTGAGTATGAGCCACATGCTGGTTTCTGAGCAAGTAACAATCTATTAATTGTGTTATTTAATTTTCAAAACACTACCTTATGATGTAATGATTCTTTAAAAATTTTAAAATATGTGGAATATAAAATCAGTGGGGTTTGATTACAGGATTTTATGACTCCCAAACTAATGTCCCCTGTTCAATTCAACTGGCAGCCTGGCATTTGTGTTCAACTAATCCAGATATTAAGATTTTAAGAGAGAACAGACGAATATATTTCTTAAAACAACTGAAACTTAAACAACTTTGGATAAGAAAACACCTTGACAAGTCAGGTGCGGTGACACAAACATGTAATTCCAGAGCTTGAACAGAGTGGACATAGAGGAGTCCTGGGATTATTAGCCAGCCATTCTAGCTTGCATAGTGAGTTCCCAGGAAGTGAGAGACCCTGCCTCAAAACATCGCTGAGGTTGTCCGCTGATCTGCATACACACCTGAACACACACACACACACACACACACACACGCACACACCATCTTGAGCTACTAAAACATAATGTATTTTCTTGCTTCTTATAGATGGCTATATATACCTATGTATTAAAAGGTATTTTTTTCTGATGAATTTTTACCACAATCTATTCAAGACCTGTACCTGAATTTAGAACAATGTTTGCTCTTTTCTTTAGTGTCCCTTGAGTTTGAGTGCACAGCCACAGCATAGCCACTTTTGCTCACTTCTCACTCCAAAATGGCCTCCTCCTGCCAGAACAAACTGGACTTAGCCTGTTTATGTTAATTCTCCTCATCCACCCACACGCACAGCCATTTCCCCTTATGCATGTTATGGGCTACTTACGTATCTTCAGTGAGATTCGCTCCTTAACTAGAATGTGGTCATCAGACTTCCCAATAACCTCTTCCCTCAAAGTGGCTGGGCAAACCCTTCCTCCCGCCAATCCCTAGCTTTATAAATGAATAAAAGTGCCTCCGAGTTACACAGACTTCTTACTGGGAATTCCACTGGATATAATACACGTTCCTCCACTGATGCTTTTATTCTCTACTACTTATGCATAGTGGTGAAAATAAACTTTTCAGGTTTCATTACACATATTTTAACCCTCCAGGCAACACATTCTATGTCTAAGAAAGTAACTCTCACCCAATAGGTGGCTAGGCACCTGGCATTTTCCTAGCAAATAGCAAAGCGTTGCTTTTCATATTAAGAGATAAGGGCAAAAATCCAAATACCCTGGAGAGAAATGAAATTACACTCACTGCCCTGCCCTGCGCATGATTGATGTGAGAGGCACTCTGAAGAGGAGGCTGAAATGTCAAGCAGGAGAGAGCGTGTTTCCAGGGGACCCATGCAAAGAAGGAGCCAGTGGTTATGCTCGGCACACTTTGATCCCTTATGTTTTAAGTCTGGCCTTCCGAGAAATTATTTACTATAGAGGTCGCATCTTATGCCGAGGGGAGGCTCTCAAGTCAGCGTGAAAATCTCGTGTGCTTGAAAAACAACACTTCTGAAGCTGCCCATAAATACCCACTAAAGGGCAATCCTCTGCCGGTTCCTCAGAAGTCTGACATCTCTAGTTCTTTCTCCAGTTTGAACAGATAAACAGACTGCTGTTTTTTCAGTGGGGTCCCTGTTTGCTTGCTTGTCTGTAGGGCCTGTCTGCAGAACAGCGTGCATACCCAGAGGTGTTTTCAGTACAGCCGTATCCTTCCAGAGATGATGGGACAAACTGAGTCTCACGCCCATTTAGTATGATAGATTCATTTTCCTCTCTTGTGACCAGGCATGAATGTGCACATGCGTGGGGTTGGAATTGGGCTGGAGAGAATATTAAACAGAATTCCAATCGTTTTTATTCCAACCCATTTATCTATTTATTTACTAAGCATAGTTAGATGTGTATGAGTCATATTATATTATTTGAATCTTCTGCATAGTTTATCAAATGCATGGTTCTTGGGTGACTTATCATTATTTATCATCTCCACTCTGCCCCTGAAGAGGAGAAGATGGGAGGAAACCACTGAAGAGCACTGAAAACCACTGAAGAGTCACATTTTTGACTAGAGATCACAACGAGAGCAGTGCGTCAGTTTGGGACTTTTCCTAGGTGATGTGCCAGGTGGATTTTTCTAAAAAGTGCATTTTAATACTAATCTCTCTTCTTCTCTCCCCCTCTCTCTGACACCTTCCTCTCTAGGCTCATCCATTCAGGCCCAGGGAAAGGCTCACCCCAGGCTGCCATGGATCTGTCCTTTGCAACACGAACTGGCACCAAGCAAGGAATTGAGACACATCTCTTCAGGGCAGAGATCGGCAGGGACCTCTCCCACTGGACGAGGAGCATAGTGCAGGGGTGCCACAATTCAGCCGAGCTCGTTACCGAAATCACCACTGGTGAGTAAGGCTGCCTGTGAGCTACCAATGTCCCACTGACAGACAAATGCGGGAAAAACGAATCTGCTCCTGCTCTGGCCTCACAGCTGTTTCTATTACTGGTCTTTGATGATGCTTAAAATTGAGAGTTAAATTCTTTTCAATTAGGCACTGCTCGCTCTCCTAAGATATAACTAGAGGCTTTTCTTATATGTCCCGTCTCATCTTTATTAAGGAGAAGCAGGTAACTTGGAGGATCACTTCCCATCCTCCTACCTATGACCCCTTAGATGACTTCCAGAACAAAGGAAATTTGGGGGTATAAACTTAGTCGGGTTATTGGTTATGAAGAACAGAAACCGAATCTTAGTGCTAGCATCACAGCTAGGTCAGAATAACTAATCACGTAGCTTTAAAGCTCATACGTGCGGAAAGCATGAATAAAACCATGCTTCGAGCTTAATTCCATGTGCTGGAAGTATGAGACATGAAAATGGGCAAGAGGGAGGACTCAGGACGGGAAGTCATTGCAACCTTGGTGACCCTGTCCTTTGTTGTCCCTTGCTGGTAGCAGAGGGCAGAGCACTCCGAGCTATCAGAGAACCTTGTAAAAGATGAGCTCATAGTACAAAATAAAAATACTTAGAGGAAGCCACAGAAAAGCACATGTACTCACCAGAGCTCCATTTGAACGGGCACCTAATTTTGTGGCCAACCGAGATTCTATTTTTTCCCCCAAAGTTGAAGGTATCCCCTATCAGGACGTCATCACGTGTCACTCTTGATGAGAAAGGAAGGCTGAGAATCTCATTGTCAAGGTGCTGCCCCAAAGCCCTCTCTACACTGAGTGCCAGGCTATGGGGAAAGGAAGATGAAACAGAGGAGAAAGGACTTGAGCTTTCAAAGCTAAACATCGCAGGTGGTGACAGTCTCCTCTCTGAGCTTTAGTTTTTTAAGCCCTCTAATCTTAGTGAAACATTTCTGCCTCTGAAGTCAGTGGTGAAATTGTATTCGGTATATTTAGGAAGCGGAGCAGAGCTATTGGTGACACAGAGTGGTTTCTCAATTAATGACACCTTCATGTGCCCGTGCTGCTCTCGGCTCCACCCCAGCAAAGAAAATGTCCTGGTTTCCTTAAAAATTCAGCTAGGTATGGATCAAGGCCCGAACCAATTGACCTACACAAGTCTGTTGACGGTGTTTTATGAGGCAAACTAAACCCAGTCCGATAATTGACAAGCTTTTCCAGAGATCTATGATGAAGATTTAAAGGATACATTTGTAGCCCTTCTGCAATAAGAGCTTATAAGGGGTGGGAGGTGCAAGTGACTACCCCTCCCTGTCCTGGTAATAGGCTTACAAGGCAACACTTCCGCCTTCTGGAAAAAGCCAGCACTTAGTCTTCTTATAAGATTTATACTTTTGTTTCTCGTGCCCCTGCCCCTGAAAGCTTCTGGACATCTCACGGGCAGTGGGAGAGAGAAGCATTCCTCATGGAAGGCGCCACATCACAGACTGGTCTGCAGCCGCATTTTCTGGACCCAAAATCTTAGGGGGAAATTAAAGGACCTGCCCTTTTGTAAAAGGTTTTTTGTAAAATTTTGTAAAAGGTAGATTATTTTTAAACTGCTCACTTATGACCTCTTAGGATGGCGGCATGTGAGAACTTTGGCAACATAATACGGTAGTAAAATAAGAGTGTTTGCCATAGCAAACAGGACTGTGTTTGCATGCACTTGTGCGTGTGTGTGAGTGTGTGTGTACACATCCATGCAGATGATAAGGTGCTGGTGTTAATGATGGTGATGCAGAGGTCGCTCACTTTGTTAAAATACAATACCTGCTGTTTCTGGCTGAAAGGCCAGGTTCCCCTCCCAGGTCATAGGAGGTCTGGTATACCCTTCCTGTTGAAATACATGTCAGAAGGCCAGATAAGGTCCGGGGCCCAGAAAACAGGCGCTGAATCTCAGTTCTGGACAATGGCTAAATTACAACATCAAAGTCAATCCAAGAAGTGTAGGAACCTTGTTCCTTTCTTTCTCGCTTTAATAAGAAATTTGTGGGTGGACACTGGGTTGAAGAAACTAAAATAATTAAGCATCTGAGTAAATGGATTGATGGATTGATTTCCACCATGTCTCCCCACCTGCCCCAGCCTGCACCTACAGAAACCAGGAATGCCGCCTGACCATACATTATGACAATGGATTTTCTATTTCTACTGAGCCTCAGGAGGGTGCCTTTCCCAAGACAATCATACAGTCCCCTTATGAGAAGCTCAAAATGTCTTCGGATGACGGAATCAGGATGCTCTATTTAGACTTCGGAGGCAAAGAAGGGGAGATTGTAAGTGTGGCTTTCTTGTGACCATGTGACCTCATTTGCTTTATTATGCAACACACCTGTAAGGACTCGGAAACGCTAGGCTGCCTCTCTACTGCTACACTTCCAGCTGACAGCCCATGGTGGTGGCTGCAGTCCCCTGCTGTAGCTGATCCTGGAGAAAGCAGGACCGGATTCAGTAGTGTCAAACAGGTCCAATTATCTCAAGCTCTTTCCTTTGGTTTCATTTTTCATTAGAAATTGGCATAAATATTTGAGGTGAGAGGAAGAATGCTTTATAAGGTTAGCATTAAATTCTTATCAAAAGAATCCTCGGGTATTCTAACCTATGTACAATTTATTTTAAAGATGCACAGAGCAGCTGATATAACCTTGGCGTTGGGTCAGGTGATGGGGATGAGGGCAGCTATGTAAAACAGGCACTGCCATGGTCCAAAGGCTAAAGGTAGTCAGGGAGTAGACATTAGACATTATCTGAGTTGGGGGAGGGACAGACAAGGACCAAAAGTTGGGAGCTACTATAAATCAATATCCATCTTAGATAACCAATTCCCGGTTAAGGTAACAGTCACACACCTCACACCTGTGCACACACTCCTACAGGCATGCTCTGGGTCGTGCAGGAACCACACTGCACACACTTGAGACATCACCATCAAAGGAACGTGATGGACATGCCCACAATGGCTCCAGAGTGGAGGGTGGCAGAGGCAGGGATGCTAAGCATGAGCTCTGTATTCACAAGGCCGCTTCACATGCAGGATCTGATTCAATACTCTAATTACCTTGTAATATTAGTAGAGCCAAGAAGAATTTTAAGTGAAGTGGCCAAGATTAGACATTAAAAAAAAAAAAACCTGTCAGAATCAAGAACCAAACAACCTGAGATGTGAAAGTTGAAATCTGCTGGATGCTGTACACAAGTTGGCATAAACATCACTATTGTGGAGCTGAAAATAAATGGTTTAGACAGTGAAGAAGGGGCTCATCGATAGTTACAAAATTGTTACAGGTAAATTCGTCAGAACTTGTTTAGGGAAAAAAAAAATATATGGGAGATGTAAGGAACAAGTTTGGAGAGTCATTCCCTTAACTCATTGAGAACAAAGATTTGAGGACAGAATCGCTCTATTTAACACTCCCAAGTCAGAAGTGTGTATAGATTGGCTTGACGTGAAAATCACTACGCTACATCAAGCATGAATTGAAAATCTCTCATGCTCTCTTCTTTTCCCGTTTCAGCAACTGGACCTTCACTCATGCCCCAAGCCGATCGTTTTCATCATCCATTCCTTTCTGTCTGCCAAGATTACAAGACTGGGCTTAGTGGCCTGAACAGAGGGGCGACTGCAGTGCCACAGGAGTGCGACATTGGGCAGTACGGCAAATGGCGCACGCACAGCCGGCCATCAGGGCTCAGGAGTCCCATGTAACATCCCAGGCTCCTCTGTCAGTTCCAGGAACTACAAGGGACACCCTAAAGAAAATCCCACCAGGGATGTCAGAATAGAACTTCTTAGAGCAGAACAAGGTTAAGGGGGTGAGGGCAAACGAATATACACAGCACATCTTCTGAATAATGACAACCAAGGACACAGCCATTACAACAGCATATGCAGATCTTAATCACACCAGTTTCTAGGCAACTGGTTCACCCAGGTAAGCCAGGGCTGAGCAGATGAGAAATGGATAGTTTCACCTACTCTTCTATCCCCCCCCCCCCCCCCCGGCAACACTGATCCCTTGCTTCTTTGTGATTTATTTTCTGAGTCAAGTTGAGCTGACTTTCATTGGTAGGCAAGAAAAGAGAAAAAGAAGAGGAAAAGTAAAAAGAAACCCACATTTTATTTAAGAATGAAGCATCTGTTACTTAATTTTCTTAATGAGTTCTCTCTCAGTTGGTATAGAGTGATTCCAAAGTGTTCTTATTAGCATAGGCTGAGCAGAAATGAAGTAAAGCATTGGATACTGACCTGAGCTCTAAGCTGGCAGGATCTGAGCCAAAGTGGGCTGTTGCTGCTGCGAAGCTTTTCTGATGATGAATTCTGAGACTACACTTACACCGTGGATGCTGCCTCATAGCCACAATTGGTACCCTTATTTACAGAAATCAAATTCTGGGCAATTTTTTAAAAAAAGATTGTCATTACGCACGCGCGCACACACACACACAACACAACTGCTGGTCACATAGTTGATATGTTTAACTGTCTGCATTTCCCAGTTTTCAGTGGATGCACCTTTCAATGGCCCTTGTTTCTGCCTGTGCTCATATGTGTATTTCAAAGTAAGGGAGACTGTCTCTCAGTCTTGATAATGCTGTTTCAGACACACAGAACCAGAAGTATAATCAAATCTACAGATAGCACCTACATTCATTTTGGAATTCCAGGGGAATAATAAAATGACCTAATATTTTTCTACAAGCATATTTTGAGGCAATATCTAGCCTACTAAGACTTAATGCTTTTTTTTTTAACCTTTTATTTTTAACGAAGATTAATTCACTAAAAACCACACCTATTTGACTTGGGAGTTACTTTTTACATGCCCCGAAAATCAGCCATAGAATTTATGAATTTTTAGTTCTTTTTTCCCCGTTAGCTTTACAGTACCACAAGCTCTGTGTTCTGCCTATGTGTTCGGAGGGTCATGGTTCAGCAGATGCCTATGCAAAGTGAAACTGCCTAAAGGCCTGTGGTTAGAGCCTCAGATTTGCGTCTTTATTGAGTATTTTAAACCATCATTCCCCAAAGCACATCCCATATCACAACACCATCACCAAGGGACACGGAACAGTGTTCTCCCTGTGGAGGTCATTTCGGAGGTTGGCGACAAAAGATATTGGCTAAGTAGCAACTTAAGACATTTGAGGCCCTTGTTGGGGTTGCCAGCTTCCTCAAAAATCATGGTCTTCATTGATCACAACCTTCAAGGTGGGGGTGGGAATTCCATGCCTTGTACTTCTTTGTAATGGGGCCTCTGTGAAGACAATGCTTTGGGAAATACCGCCACAGCACACGGTCTTTTGGTTGGTTTCTAATCTTACAATGTTGAGGAGTGAAGGCCAGCTTCAACACTGTGGGAAAGCATTGATGCATTTGTAAATTATATTGCACAGTTTCACGCTATATATTTTCAAAAATCACTGGAATGTTGTTATACAAGAGAACTATACTTATGTATTGTAAATAACATGAGACATATATTAATGTCAATAGTTTCGTTCAACAATATGTAATCTAAGGTGCTCGGTACTACATGAAGTTTGAGTTAATTACTCAAGTTGCAAAGAATCTATTATATATTTATAGACAAATTAAAACGGTCATAATAACAGACATTGTTTCTTTATTGCTTAAGTTTTAGAATATCTGGGTAAGACAAACAAAAACAGTCTTCGCCATTTTTAAAATTTTAATTTAAATATTTATATTTTAGGAAAAAATATATTTGAATAAGATCAATGCATTTTCTGAAGCAAATTAAAATGTGTTATTAGCAAGAAATAGAAAACTTTACTATGAAAATTGTGTATATGAATGACTTTTTTCTCCTAATTAAAGTATATTATATCAGAGTGGCTATGATGAGTCAATTCACATATTAATTATTATTTCTCAGCTTGGATTTTAATCATCATCTTTAAATAATGGCTACACAGTGTTTTTTTTTTTTTCTCTTGTCTTAGGTGTTGATGTGTAGGGCACCAACTAAGTCTGTCTTGTGTCTTGGTCAATGAATCAAATTAGTTATTTGGGAGAATTTTTTTCCAGTTTGCTTTGTTCTTTGTTCTGTGAATTATAGAACTAATAATGCTTGTACCTAAATGAAAACCAGTGCAGATGAACAATGTTACTTAATGGATTCTTGCTCAGTTGCCAGGAGGGTAAATTCAGTGGTCTGGTAACATGTGCATGCTACTCTTCCTATTGGCTTTTCAAGAATACCGGGGGATAGAGATGTCATTTTTCATAATATGAGCTAAGTAATAGAAACCAAACTATACAACTATTATGATTATGAACTACCCAGACAGAGGTATTTAATGAATGGCATCAATGGGGTGTGGAAGTGATTTTGGGGTGGTATCTTGATTTTTTAAAAATCTGCCTGTGTTTATAGCCCCATGAACATCATGTACAATTTATATATAAACTAAATAAATATTTGCCTCAGATCTCCAATGCATAAGTTTATATTTTAAGTCCATCATGGGTTGACCAGTCTCAGAGGGTTGTGTTTGTGAGAACACAGACTGTGTTCCTTTCCCATCAAGACTGCTCGTAGAAGTGTTAATATGGGGTAAAGGAATTCTACTAGCAATACCTGTGTTCATTTTATCTCAAAATCCATTTAAAACACACAGAGTTGATCCATCCTAATGCAGCAAATGTTGACAGATTCCTCAACATATTAAGATTCCCCCCCCCAAATTAATCTGAATGTAGCTTCAAATAGGTTTTTATCTATAATTAGGGCTCTCATTTTTAACTAAAATGTGACCCCTGCACCAAGCTCCAAATACTTTAATTCTCTGTTGTACCACAACTGGTTTCTGTTGTGATTTCTTGGAGTGAACATGACAGACTGGTATTTACAAGTCATTGTACTAATTGAAACTTCCACAAGATTGAAGTTAGATTAAGAACCATAAAATCTGGGGTTTCAAAAGACCTAGAAACCGTGAAGCCTATTTCTGTGCACAGTGTATCCCAGCGGTACCACCTTCGTACATTAAGGTGCGTGATTTACTGCTAACATGATGTTGACATAGAAAGCTGAGCAGACACCAATTAAAACGTCTTTGAAGTCCACGCCACCTAAACTCATCTCTCACACATACCGTATCCCAGACACTGTATCCCCGATGCTGTATTGTGGGCTACATGGACCTTGCTGCACACGCCAGTGAACTCAGGGATCGCTCCTTGAGCACTTCGGTGTTGTCCGTCCAGCCTGAAATTGAAATTTTTCCAGGATGAGGAGAGCAGTCCTTATCTCTCCAGGCAGACCCGCTCATTTGCTGGGTGGCTAGAGTTGTTTGAAGCGTCTTGCATTCTTGACGCCCAAACTTCTATTTGTCTACCCTTCACTTATGACCCCTGAACACTGGAAGTTCAATTGCTCTTCCACAAGAATGTCCTAGAAACAGAGACGAATCAAGGCTGACAGCAACCAACTAATGTAATAAAAGCTGAAAACAGCTTTTAATCGGACATTTGAAAATCCTCAATTTCTTCTTTTAAAAAAGGTCAAGATTAAAACCTCAGATATCTAGTGGAAGGTCACAACCGGCATGAATAAAATCACCAGTAAGAATAGTGGACAATAATTTAGAGAGCAATTTAAAAAACCTATGAAAAAGCACGGGATAAAACTGGACTCTCTGAGCATGGCGAACAATGAGGGCTGATGAGAATCCAAGGACAATGGCACGGGGTTTTGAACCTACGTAATGTGCTGGCTTTGTGGGAGCCTAACCAGTTTGGATGTTCACCTTCCTAGAAATGGACGGAGGGGGGAGGACCTAGGACTTACCACAGGGCAGGGAAATCTGACTGCTCTTTGGGCTGGAGAGGGAGGGGGAGAGGAGTGGGGGGAGGGGGAGAAGGTGGGAGGAGGGGGAGAAGGGTGGGAGGAGGGGGAGGGAAATGGGAGGCTGGGAGGAGGAGGAAATTTGTTTTTTTTCTTTTCTCAATAAAAAAAAAATTTAAAACACGTAACTTTGGACTATGAGCTTTGCTCCCACAAGTGCGCAAAAACTATGGTTGAAAGATCATTTCTGCAGCCTTTGTAAGCAGCTGAAAAAGGTCAATATTTGAATGATATCACTGTAACACTCATGTACACTGATAGCTGGCTAACGGATGCATGCGAATGTTTTTGCAACTGTCAGTGTCGGCATAGATGAAGTCAGTAAAATCCCCTGCAAGGTTCTCTCGAAGGGCCACAAGTACCATGCTAGCCCTATTGTATTCACCTGGGCTCAACTACGGCATTCCAGGGATCTGTGCTGTTGGGTATCACAATGAGGAGGAGAAGGGAACTTGCAATTGGTACTTAATGAGAGTTGCTAGATATCCCCACTGGCCCATGGCTCTTCACCAAATGGAAGTATTTCTCCATACACTTTCTGTGACCTCTGAGATTCTTGGAGATGAAAAATCCTATTGTTATCTGAGCCTAGACTTTGATTTCTTATTCATGCAAACATTTTGCCCTGGATTTTCTAAATATGAACTCCCATGGGTTTGAAAGAAAGATGGTGGTTTTGTTTTGCTCTGGGGATTACCAAAAGTTGATATTATTTTATTAAAAAAAGTCACTATAGGCCGGGCGGTGGTGGTGCACGCCTTTAATCCCAGCACTCGGGAGGCAGAGGCAGGCAGATCTCTGTGAGTTCGAGACCAGCCTGGTCTACAAGAGCTAGTTCCAGGACAGGCTCCAAAACCACAGAGAAACCCTGTCTCGAAAAACCAAAAAAAAAAAAAAAAAAAGTCACTATAGTCTTCATGAGGTATTGGATTATCAATACAAACTGCCTGATTCATTACTGCTTCATTAACACATCTAGATGTAAATTGAAATTTGATTATTTTTGTCTTAATATTGCATGGGTACCCCAGCATCTTCTTACTGAAATACACATTATTTTACCATCACTTTCTCCTTAAATGCCTCGGTAGCAGTTAATTTTCTTGTTGCTGTGAGCATATACC